AGCAACTAAGTGTGTTCTACCTAAGGAAGTACCCATTAAATCCTTCATTTCATCAACCAAACCTTTGAGTTGTTCTTGTTGAAAAAGAGAGAGCATCGAATTATCTTCTATTCCACAAATTTCAATTGAAGCTGGACAATCTTTAGAAAAATGCCAAACTCTTTGTCTCAAATCTGGGATTATATTCATGGACCTCCAGAAGTCGATACCTAAAATTAATTTCTGAGGCAACTCAGGGATAACTAAAATATCAATAACACATATTTTGTCAACTAAGCACAGAGGCGTGGTCACAAACCCAATACTTCGACAAATTTGACCATTAGCAACTCTGCACTCACTAACAGAACTTTCAAGCTTAAGTCCCAGTTGCTTCAGAAATTCAAAACCAATACAACCAACAATAGTTCTGGAAGCTCCAGAATCCAATAAACCAGTTATAGGACACCCTAAAATAGAAACATCAAGGTATGGACGTTCATCACCCGAAACAGTAGACAATACATAATCAAGAATAATTTGCTTCCTAGAATCTAACATAGAAATGGTCAAATCATTTGACTGAGGAGAAATTACTTGACCACCTAAGATCTCCTCGCAGAGTTTTCCGGAACATTCCCATTTGATGGTCTTGGTCTGGGATTTTGATTCCTATTCTGATTATTATTTGATCTGCTTGTACTAGGTCTAGAACATTTTGGGCAATCACGGACCGTTACATTAGGATTCCCACACTTGAAACAAAATTTCTTTCTAGGTGCCAAACATCCCTTGAATGTATGATTGTCACTACCACAATTAAAACAACTAACCACAGATACTTCAGCTAAATTTGAGGCCAAGTCTGATATGGAATTACAATTATTATCTGCGGAAGAAGACGCATAAGCTAACTCTGGAATGAGAGATCTATTCTTAGGTGGTGGGGGTATATAAGATCTTGCTAAGTCTCGTTTTTCATCAAGGGAACGACAAAGTTCAATAAGTTCAGTAATTGAACCTATTTGTCTAAAAGCCAAGAATGGTTGATAATACGGATCAATCCGCTCTACTATTAAAGTGAGCTGCACTTCTTCTGACACAGGAGTTTGCATTTTATTAAAGAGACTTTTCATACTTGCAACATACAAACCAATGCTCTCTTTAGGACCTTGTGTCCTACGTTTAATATCTTCAAATAAATCCTTGTCAAAATTAGCAGGCAAGAACTGCTGTCGCATTAATCGAACCAACGATTCCCAATCAGTAGCCCATTCTTTAACTAAATTATACCAAGTATATGCATCACCCTCAAATAGATCCGCAGCATCCCTGAATAAAACCGATTTTGTTATACCACGTGACTTTCTCATCGCACCTACTTTCTCAACAAAAGTACAAAAAGACATCATACCAGGCTTTCCTGTAAATTTCAGACCCCAGTCACGAACTGGAACAGGTCGAACTTTCACAGGCTCATCTTCATCACTGGAAGAATCACTAGAGCTAACAACAGAGCTATGAGCATTAGGTGCTGCTAAAGATTGTCTTAAAACCGAAATATCAATGACAGAAGGATCCTTATGACCTTTTCGAGCCTTTTCTTGCAATTTATCCAATAACAATAACAATTGCACTCGATAATCAGCCTTAAGTTTCTTCTGTGCATCATCTTGAGGACTACACCTATTTATACGACCTAAGATATGAGCAATTTTTGAACATATACCTTTATATCTGTGATCTCTTTCCGTGCCTGAGAAATCATCAATAAGATTCTGTAAAGTACCAATATTTTCAGAAATAGCTGCAGAATCTTCAGAAAATTTAAAAGGATATGCAGAGCTTTTGATAGCTAGGGTAGTTTTTTCCAAAGATAGAGTTTTCCTCAATGCTACTCTAAGATCAGCAACAGTTAAATCAGTGCCATCACCAAGACCTCGAATTTGTGCTTCATATACCAACTCTTCTCTAGTCAAACAACCAACATCTAATTTTATTTTGGTCGAAGTCATTTCAAAAAAAAATCTTAAAAATCACCGAAAAAAAATTAAAAGTACAAAATCTTACTCACAATGACCCTAAATGTAAGAAAGTACAAAAATTAGAAAAACGACGTCTGGCGTCGGTTGGCGTCGGTGAGCGTCGGTAGTTAAAAACTGTATAAAAATGACCACGATACCGAAATATATCGAAATTAAGCACTTTTTGATAATCGACGCTGGGCGTCGGTAGGCGTCGCGACGTAAAATTCAAAAAATCCAACTTGAAAAAAGCAAAATTCAAAATACGATAAAAAAAATCGTGTGGAGAATCAGCAATAGCTATTCTCAAAAATAAATGTTTGACAAAATGAAAAGTGACCTTGAGAATACCAAAAATTCCACAAACCAAAAAAAATCACAAGCACTTCTGTAGACGCCGAAATGATCTATACTTATAGTCTACCAGAAGTCAAGTGCAAAACTAAAGCGAAAAAATATTCTCAAGTCACACTTCAATTTTCAAAACACAAAACAAGGGTAGTACCTATCAGAGGTTTTCAATCTCAATTTCCAAAAGAATTGGATGTAGGATCTCAAATCAAAAAAAAAATAATCAAATCAGAAACATTGATTTCCTATCACCAATTCAGAAAATAAATAGGTACTATGACTATGTTTTCTTCAAATTACAAAAAAAAAACATTATCCAACCCAAGGTACCTGACAAAGAAAAATGAAATAATTACCAGTTTTTCACTTAAAAAAAAAGGTGGGCGCCAATCTGTTAGGGGCAAGGTTTTGATAAGCAGGGTTCATGCAAAAGATAAAGTACTTGCCACTAACCCTCCCAGCTGCTCAGTTAGGGTGTGGGTACGGTTCATGTATTTTTGAATTATATGAGTAACAGTATATAATGAAGGGGTAAATTTTCCGGTGCGCCACTGATTTTTCGCTAGCCAAAATCAGAAACCACCCTGATGAAAGGGATAAACCACTGCTATCGGTAGAGTCAACAATTTACAAATATCTGGTAAAATTTTCAAGTACCCTGGGGTTGATTAATGAAGAAATAATAGTCATACACCTTGAAACTATCTATTCAAATCATATGATAACACCATATATAGTTATGTAAGTGAAGTAGCATTCAAGGGAGCATTCAGATTTCAGATATATATAGTTTTGTATATTAAATTGATACAAATATAGGGAAGGTCCTAAGGAGGGCTATTCATGTGACGTCACGGGGATAGCTTACAACTTATGTACATTGAATGTAAAATATATACAGGTATATGGGGCATTCCCTTAGGTTTTATGGTGTGACAGACTTATCTGAATGCTCAGTGGAGCTCCTATATGGCGTTACTTATGATTGAATCCCTCTTCTCTCTGGTCAAGGCAATCAGGCCTCAACTGGAAGACTGCTCGTTGTCGAAGACACAGCAAAAACTGCAGGTATTCTTGTTAACCAATGTAGAAAACTCTAGACAAGTAGTGTAGATGTATATGATATATACCAGCACGAGTCTATGGTCCAGACATACAATGACCAGGGACTAGGGTGAACAGTAGTACTATAGTACTAATAGTGGGATGAAGCCTGTGCCTAGGGCAAGAACTAGGAGTAGGACTAGAATTAAGACTAGGACTAGGACCCTAAAAATAAACAATACTAGTCTGAGTTCACTTCAATTGATTGCATAATGATCATGCTGACTGACAAAGATAATACTAACCTCTTTTGTAGCTGAGGGTTATTTTAACAATCCCGATGTTGTGAATTGTCTGTGTCAGTTATTTCCACAATGGTACTTGTTGAATATACAAGACAGGAGCTCTGAAGTTATAAAATGAAACTTACAAGTCTGAAAATGTTAACCTCAAAAAAAAAAACTTACTTTGGCTTTATATCCTGCAGAGCAGAAAATATGATTTCATTCAAAATACAAACATCCAATATTGGTCCAATACGTAATGAATCATATAATGTTGAAATTCTCCAAATCCATACAGAGATGATCGAAAAATTCGATGGAGATATTTCAATCGGCCATACACTCCCACAAGTACCAAGGAAGAATCAAAAGTGAAAAATTGAAATGTCAGTCAGATATCAAAAATATGAAATGTCACTGCTGTCAATTGCATCGATTTATAGTGATTTATATGCGAAACTGATTCCTTAGATCATACAGGAATCTGAGAATAGTTCTGTGACATATTAAACTTAAATGAACGACAGTATTTTCGTGATGACTGATGGCTGGCGCTGAATAATTTATAAGGATGGTGCGAGCAGATTCCAAGTGTAAAATCATCCATGAAAATTTTTATCGTGAGTTCGGATCCTACACTCAGTTAAAGTTTATAAAAACCACTAAGGCATTAACTCAGCTCTTGAACTAAATTGATATTCATCCGGAATAGATACTCGACAAACAAAATCTGATCAGTGCTTACACCATCCGGATAAACATTTGATGAACAACTATTCGTGTTGCTGCTGAGGAAAAAGTTACGGTTTAACAACTGCTTGCAGACATTCGTGTTCTCAAGACGAACTATCGCTGACGTATTATGGACCCATCTCGGGTCAGAAAGAAAGTATCTGTACTAAGAAAATATCTCACATGTTATCTGTCAACTCTGTCATTGAATATTGACTTAAAATTGTCAGAAATCGATTGTCAATTGATTTAATCATTGCAAGAAAAATAAAGTAAACAATGATGGATCATTATATTTAAATGATATCTTACTGAGCACATAATATAATGTATGCGAAATTGTTTGAAATAAAGGTGAGTACAGTGAGGCGAAATACTGAAAGATAGTTCATAATACAGCATAACATGAAGTTATCATATAGCACAGTGAACATGATACCGAGTGTGACATCGATCTGATACTTAAGAACACGAAATTCAATGATTCCAGAATAATAACAACGGAGAATTCGCAGTGCAAAATAAAACCGTAACAACTTGCAGAAAGCACTGATGATGGTGAAAGTTGACTGCTCTTTGTAAATACCTGTGTGATGTATTGTCAGGATCACCTTTCCTCCTGTGATGAGCCAATTCTTGCCTTGTATAACACTTTTTCTCAAAAGTGAAAATCTTCAAATTCTCCACACAAATGTCACAATAGAACAGTTCGTGTTCCCGCCTCATGTGGTCTTTAAGCTGCTGGAAAGTCTTGAAGGGCCATTTGCGTTCACCCTCTTCACAGATGTAGCAACGGTGCTCCAGTAAATTCTGGTACTCTTTTTGAATGTCCGAAGTGCAGAAATATAAGCCGAACTTGCGGTCTTGTAGGTTGGACCGCTCAAACTTTGGGAAGAGAATAGAATATTTTTCGACGACCTTGGAGAAGACCACCTGAAAAAAAATATTTGTTAGCATATCCAAAAAATGGTTGGACCGCTCAAACTTTGGGAAGAGAATAGAATATTTTTCGACGACCTTGGAGAAGACCACCTGAAAAAAAATATTTGTTAGCATATCCAAAAAATGAAGGTGTCTCGAAATTAGTTTGAAATACTCTACCAGCAGCTACTAGGGTCAAAAGTAGATAGGAAATTTCACATAATCATATGTAGGCAAATGTCCCCTAAAGGTGCTACAATCTCTTAAAGATGTATTTTTATTATTATTTCTGAAAGGGTTTGGGATAAGATAAACGAAATTGTGTATACACACTCAACTTTCTGTGCTGGATTAAAAAATGTAAGCAGAATTCAAAATTTCTAGGGTGGCCTAGGGTATTTGCAACCCAAGGATGTGAATGCATCAACGGTTTTTTTGACAACGGTCTTTTAACTTCGATTAATTGTATATGAGGAAAGGACATCTATTGCTGGAGATTTTTTTATGCGAGTCCACTAATCTGAAAGAGCCTCACAGTAAAATAATTTGTGATTCCTAAACCACCCCATAACTACCCCACAAAACAGAAAAATCATGATAACAGTTGGGAAATCTCTTGATTGCAAATTTATTATGTGAATCAATAATTTTATTTGTAACAACCTGACTATTCCTATACTTTTTTAGAAAGTCTAAAGGAAAATAAAGATATTTATTTATTTATTTAATTTTACACTAGTTAAACGCCCTCCATGCAATGAAATGATTTGTGAACCAGAAACTACCTCTTACCAACCCTCCGGAGTAGAAAAATCTAAATGCAGTTGAAATACCCGTTGCCCGAGATTTTTTCATGGAAATGAATTAATCAAGACCTTCTCAATACACTCTGAAGGGTGAAATATTTTTTTAACCAGAAACTATCCCTCAATAGCCCTCAGAAGACTAATCTCAAAACAGTTGAAATTATCGTTTTTCAAAGTTTTTTGATGAAAATGGATTATTCTAGAATCTAGACCTACTGAATGAGCTCTGAGGAGAGATATAATTTGTGAACCAAAAACTACTCCCCAACCAACCCAGAGTAGAAAAATCATAAATCTGTTGACATTTTCGTTGCTGGAAGTTTCTTCGTGGAAATGAATTATTCTAGTCTTGCTGAATACACTCTATAGGGTGAAATAATTTATGAACCTAAAACTACCCCTCAACAACCCCCCGAAGTAGAAAAATCATAAATCAATTGAAGTTCCCGTTACTCTAAGTTTTTTGATGGAAATTAATTATTCCCAACATGCTGAATACGCTCTTTAGGGTGAAATAATTTGTGAACCAGAAACTACTACTAACAACCCTTCGAAGTAGAAAAATCATGAATCATTTGATATTCTTGTTGCTCCAAGTTTTTTTACGTGAATGAGTTATTCTAGACCTGCCAAATACGCTCTATGGGGTAAAATGATTTGTAAACCAAAAAGTACCCCTCAACAACCCTCAGGAGTATAAACATTATAAATCATTAGAAAATCCTGTTGCTCGAAGTTTTTTCATGGGGATGAGTTATCCTAGATCTGTCGAATACGCTCTATAGGGTGAAATAATTTGTGAACCAAAAACTACCTCTCAATAACCCTCCGAAGTAGAAAAATCATAAATCATTTGAAATTCCTGTAGTTCAAAGTTTTTTGATAGGAACGAGTTATTCTTGACCTGCTGAATAAGCTTTATGGGGTGAAATAATTTGTGAACCAAAAACTACCCCTCAACAACCTTCAGAACTGGAAAAATCATAAATTATTTGAAATTCCTGTTGCTCTTAGTTTTGTGATCCAAATGAGTTATTCTAGACCTGTTGAATACGCTCTATGGGGTGAAATAATTTATGAATCAAAAACTACCCTCTACCACTCTCCGAAGTAGAAAATTCGTAAATCAGTTGAAATTTTTGTGCTCCAAGTAGAAATGAGTTAATCTAGACCTGCTGAATCCCCTCTATGGGGTGAAATGATTTGTGAACCAAAAACTACCCCTCAACAACCCTCCGAAGTAGAAGAATCATAAATCGTAAATTGATCTACAATCATAAATAATTTGAAATTCCTGTAGCTCAAAAGTTTTTAATTGAAATGAGTCATTCTAGAACTGCTGAATACGCTCTATGGGGTGAAATAATCTGTGAACCAAAAACAGCTCCTCAATAGCCCTCCGAATTATAAAAATCATAAATCATTTGATATTCCTGTTGCTCGAAGTTTTTTGATGTGCATGAGTTATTCTAGACTTGCTGAATACGCTCTATGGGGTGAAATAGTTTGTGAACCATAAAATACCCCTCTATAACCCTCCGACGTAGAAAACTCATAAATCAGTTGAAATTCCTATTGCTCGAAGTTTTTTGATAGATATGAATTGATTCAAGCATGCTGGATGCGCCCTATAGGGTGAAATAATTTGTAAACCAGAAACTACCCCTCAACAACCCTCCGAAGTAGACATATCAGGAATCAGTTGAAATTCCCGTTGCTCCAAGTTTTTTTTATGGAAATGAATTATTATAAACCTGCTGAATACGCTCTATAGGGTGAAATAATTTGTAAACCAGAAACTACCTCTCAACAATCCTCTGAAGTAGACATATCAGGAATCAGTTGAAATTCCCGTTGCACCAAGTTTTTTTTTATGGAAATGAATTATTATAAACCTGCTGAATACGCTCTATAGGGTGAAATAATTTGTGAACCAGAAACTACCCCTCAACAACCCTCCCGAAGTACAAAAATCATAAATCATTCATTTTTTGATGGAAATGAATTATTCTAGACCTTCTAAATATGTTCTGAGGGATGAAATAATTTGTGAACCAAATACTACCCTCAACAACCCTCCGAAGTAGAAAAATTCTAAATCAGTTGGAATTCCCGTTGCTATTTTTTTTTTTTAAATATTCTGAAACTGCTGAATACACTGTGTGTGGTAAAATAATTTGTGACCCAAAAATACCCTCAAATTTGAAGGGCTGTTGAGGGGTAGATTTTGGTTCTCAAATTTTTTCACCCTCTAGGGCTAGAGCGTATTCAGCTGGTCTAGAATAATTTATTTTCGAGTTTATTTTCATGAAAAAGTTCAAGTAACGGGAACTCCAACTGATTCAAAATTATTCCATTCCGGAGGGTTGTTGAGGGGTAGTATTTGGTTCACAAATTATTCAACACCGTTGAGCGTATTCAGCAGGGCAAGATAATCCATTTTCACCAAAAAACTTCGAGCGACGAAAATTTCAAATAATTTATCATTTTTCTACTTGCGGGGGTTGTTGTTTGTTGTTGTTTTTGGTTCACAGATTATTTCACCCTATGGAGCTTATTCAGCAGGTCTAAATAATTCATTTCCGTCAAAAAACTTCGAGCAACGGGATTTTAAACTGATTTAAGATGTTTCTACTTCGGAGGGTTGTTGAGGGGTAGTTTTCAATTCACAAATTATTTCACTCCATAGAGCGTATTCAACAGCTCCATAATAATTCATATGTATCAAAAAATGTTAGGCAACGGGATTACCAACTGTCATAAGATTCGTCAACTTCTGAGGGTTGTTGAGGGGTAGTTTTTGGTTCAAAAATCATTTCACCCCATAGACCATATTGAGCAGGTCTAGAATAATTCATTCTCATCGAAAAACTTCGAGCACCGGAAATTTCAATTGATTTATGATTTTTCTAAATCGGAGTGTGGAGGAGTAGATTTTCAGCAGGTCTAGACTAATTCATTTCCATCAAATGACTTCGAGCACCGGGAATTTTAATTAATTTATGATTTTTCTAATTCGGAGAGTTGTTGAGGGGTAGTTTTCAATTGCTTCGGGATGTTATGCTTTACGAACGGTGTCGAAAGAATTGGGTATTGCAACAGCAAAAATTGTGTACCACGCTGTAGTTGAATCACACTTAAGGTATGGCATAGCCTTCTGGGGCACCTGCAATCAACAGCACTTCAATACAGTTTTTATTCTCCAAAAGCGCGCCGTATCTGTGCAAAGTTGAGCCCAGAGTGTCTTGTAAACCCCTGTTCAAGGAGCAAAGATTACTTACTCTTCCCTCATTATTTATTCTAGAAACTGTGTGCCTAGTACATAAGAACAGATCATCTTACGATGTTGTTGCTGGTTTCACTCGCCAAAACGACAAGCTAAGACTGCCCAGTGCCCATTCCATCATCAAATTTGATAAAAAAATCGCTGGTCTATAATGCAGCTAAAATATATAACCATCTTCCGAAATGTTTCAATCAGATGACAAGTTCAGGATGACAAGTTCAGGAAGTCTGTAAAGCAAGTTCTCATTGAACAGATATTTTATAGTTTTCAAGACTACTTTGATAAAGATATGTTCATCTACTAGTTCCTGGCAATGGCTATGGTTTTCAATTAGTATAGTTTTGATATATGTTTAATCATTTAATCTCTCATTGTTCTGTTAACGTGTGACGTTTCTCCTTGGATCTATTTATATATATATATACATGTTTTATTTCATTCATGATTATATTATTCCTGTTGAATGTTGAGCCATAGACATATTTTTATTTGTATTCGATGATGTGTCTGTTCGTCGATGATACCTACGTTTGTGTTTTTATATTTATTTATTATGACTTTGTCTATAAGATACTCATCTTCCGACAATAACGTATATTTTTGATTTTGACAAATTATTTCACCCTATTCAGCAGGTCTAGAATAACTCATTCCCATCAAAAAACTTCGAGCAACGGGAATTTCAACCGATTTTTTTACTTCAAAGGGTTGTTGAGAGGATCAGTATGAAACCAGCCACGCCAACCATGACATTTATTCAAGGCACGCGCCATACCACCAATGGTCGTTCATTACTAATTTATACACGTGGCTGGCCATCAATTTACTAATACCTTCAAAATATGAAACTATTTCCATTAATGTATTCCTCTAAGGATCCTTAATAATCTGTATATCTCACAATATTTTGTCGGGCAAGA